ACAACGTGCTGCACCCTCCACGAAATCTGCACATGGAGGTTCACAAACCGCTCCGCCTGCAACGTGAACTGGACCTAGAGCTATTGAAACTAGAGCTGGAGCTAGAGCTCTTGAAACTAAAGCTACCTGGAGCTAGAGCTATTGAAACTAGAGCTACCTGGAGCTAGAGCTCTTGCAACTAGAGCTAACTGGAGCTAGAGCTCTTGAAACTACAGCTAACTGGATGATGAGTGGTGTATGATGAGTGGTGTATTGATGAGTGGTGTATTGATGAGTGGTGTATGATGAGTGGTGTATGATGAGTGGGGTATAATGAGTGGTGTATGATGAGTGGTGTATTGACGAGTGGTGTATGATGAGTGGTGTATTGATGAGTGGTGTATTGACGAGTGGTGTATTGACGAGTGGTGTATTGATGAGTGGTGTATGATGAGTGGGGTATAATGAGTGGTGTATGATGAGTGGTGTATTGACGAGTGGTGTATGATGAGTGGTGTATGATGAGTGGTGTATTGACGAGTGGTGTATTGATGAGTGGTGTATGATGAGTGGTGTATTGATGAGTGTTGTATTGATGAGTGGTGTATGATGAGTGGTGTATGATAAGTGGTGTATGATGAGTGGTGTATTGATGAGTGGTGTAGTCCGTAACACGGAAGTTTCGTACACTAAACTTCCTTTGATAATGTATGAACATCCATCCAGCGTATATTATATATAATATGCAATGTATATAATGGGTACCATAACGTGAAAAGGCCAGCCCCTCCACTTTGGTCTTCACGGATCCCTTCACAAGCACTCCATATCTGTCCTCAAAGTCTGAGCCCGCCAGTGCCTGAGGCACCACTGACCTTGGGCAACAAATTATATCACGGATGAGCCCCTAGTAGCGATGCGCTTTGCTGCTAGTAGCTTCTTGTTCCTAGTAGTAAGGCCAGGAGCTCTTAGTAGCGTCCTTGCTCCTAGTATCAGCAAATGATATCACGGATGTCTTTGGGCTGTGGATTGCACAAAGCATTCGTGGTGACAGCCTGCAAGATCTCTGACTCAATGTCGATGTGGAACCAACGATTTCCCGTTTCTAGTTATCTTGACCCCTTGGACTCACACTTTTGGAGGTGTTGAGAGATGTCATCAGCATCACAGACCTCAGTCGATGCAGCTGAAGGAATAACATGGCTAGCTGATAGCTGTCCTAGGTCCTAGTTCGATGTAATAAGAAAAGCAGGGTCATTTACCTACAGCAGTTGGCACCAGCAAATCAGCCAAGCACTTTCAATTGGAAATCTCTTGGCATCTGTGGGTTGATTCAGCTGAAGCAGCTGAGCAATATGACATACGACATGCAATCACTTCTTGCAATGCTTCTGGTCTGGCCTCCTGGGAATTGGAATTTGAACCGTAAAGGTATGATTCCACTCCCAACAAGTGTTTGTAGGAGTTTGCTGCAGATTGATCCATACATCAATGAGAAAGACCGGTGCAAACTTTCAAAACCACCCGGTGGCGGCAAAGCCACGCATCCTGCAAGCAGGCCTTAGCTTGCGCGGGAAATGCGGTGAGAAACCCAACACTCAACACTTTAAAGTACTTTTAAAGTTTATGGGCTTGTTAAACTTGGAAGTTGAAAGTCATTCATTCTCTGAGGCCTCAGCTGAGCATGGCATCCCCAAACTACAAGGGCCACACGTTGCAGAATCAGCCGTCTGTGGTGCTCTGCTCTGGAGTTATTGGCTGAGTGGGGTGGCCACTCTCAGATTC